TAGTATATGTATGGCATATTGAACGATACACATATGAACAGGATATGACAAATTAATTCACTTAAAATATAAAATTAAGTATTAATCAGGGCCGTTTTGACAATACTTTTAATGCGATGCATGCGAAAAATACGAGCGCACGCCTCAGGGGGCGCCAACACAAGATTCGGATATTAAATTTCCAATATAGTTTTTTTTTACAATATATAATTTCTTTACATCTTTCACTAATCTTTCCACAATATTTTTAAAATTCATAAAAATTTCACTTTATACCAACAAATGAGAAAGTAAAGATGAATACATACAATTCGGCCTTCACGATATCGATTAGGAGAAGTTTAAAATGCAATTTTGGATATCTTAAATAATAAAAAAATTAAATTAATTTAATCCAACATAAAATACCAGTGTTATGTTATGGTTATGGTTATATGTTATACCTTTTAAAAGACTTCAATATCCAATACAAAGTGTGGGAATTGAGACTTAGCAGTTCTACATTTAACATCGCTCATATTATAAATGTACCCCAGTAGAAATACATCTGAGCTGGAAATGTTTTAATGCAAGCTAAATATTTATATATGCACTTTGGCGTGAAGAGTAATTTAAAAAACAATAATTATTATTTTCAGGTAAACGGTAGATATTAGTATAATATATTAAAAAATTGTAGTCATGGGTACAGGACAACGTCTGTCGGGTCATCTAGTTAAGCTATGGAAAATATATGGAAAAATTATGATATTTGCACCTGTATCCTGTGCTCATTTAAACTAAAGTTCAATGAACAAAAAATATTTAAAAATGAATTCTTAATACTAATAATAATAAAATAATTCAAAAGAATCCTTAACATATGACGGTAGAGTCCGCGATTGTCATCGGCAACGTTTGCTCAGACGTGTGACGTCACAGTCCCTTCTATGTTTGAGCACTTATTTTGCGTTCGACTAGCAGTTCATGTAATATAAGGTCTATGATACATTTATATGATATTGAAGTATATGTACATTGTTTTTAGGAGTCCTGAAGAAGCTGAACGTTGCAGAGCAACCTTATTGGCAGTCATCGAAACAATGTTGACACTGTCAGAAATAAAATATTGGAACTCATCGAAAGTTTAGCAAGAAAGGTACAAATATTCATAATCTATAGTTTAGAATGTTTTTTTTTCAATGTTTGAACGAAATTTTTTATTTTTATTTTTATAATGTGGCATTAACAAATACACATAACCCTGCATTTTAACTTCCCGAAGGAGGAGAAGTTTATGTTTTCATCAAAAAATCCGATTCTCTAATTTTATATTTTCTCGACGTTTCAAGCCATTCTGAATCGAGTGAGAGCAACATTTGAAAAAAGTATGTGTGTGTGTGTGTGCGAGCAGATTTTTTGCCGTAACTCGACGTTTTCTCGAAAACGGCTGGGCCGATTTCAAAAATTTAAAAGCCATTCGATGTATCTCGACGAGAACTATTGTTTGTCAGTTTTGTGCGACGATTGGCTAACCCGTTTCTTTATAAATCGCAGAAAAGTGAAAATTTTCGTCTACGTTTTAGCCAAATTCTGAATCGATTTTGAAAATTCAAAAACCGTTCGAAACATATTGGTTGGGAATCAGGCTGATTAGTTTTTGGTAGAGATCGGCCGGGCCGTTTTCTTGTAATAAAGTTTTTAAAAAAAAAATTTCGACGATTTTTATGATTATTTTTTGACGGCTGATACCATAGTCTTCTAGATCTACTAAAATATACGGCCTACGACAACTGGTTCAGCTTTAAAATTCGTCAAAGTTTGCAAAAATTAGTATCGTTTTTTGGGATTTGTCAAAATTAGACCTATCATCGACGTTTGCTTAAAAACGGCTGAACCGATGTATTTCGATGTAGATTATGTATTCTCAGTTGTGGCAGCGATCGGCTGAACCGTGTTTTTGTAATTTGCAAAAAAGTGTTAAACTTTTCGTCCACATTTAAGTTCATCCTACCGAACCGATTTTAAAAAATCAAAAACCTTTCGAAAGATATTAGTTGGGAAAGATACTGATTAGTTTTAGGTAAAAATCTACCGAGCCGTTTTCTTCTAATTAACTGTTGAAAAAAAATTTAAGCTGATTTTTATGGAACTTTTTTGGCGATATACATCATGGTCTTATAGAACTTACTGTAATATTACAGCCTTACGACAAATAGTTTAATTTTAAAATTCGTCAAACATTGCTAAAATTATTATCGTTTTTTTTTTAAAGTAGCATTCATGAAGCATAATATTACACATTTTTTTTTTATTAAGTCGATTATTTACACATATCGGGAAGTTCATGTAACTTGCCTCAAGGTTAAATAACCATACCAACTAGTTACTTTTTTTATCCCCAACCCCTATTTTTTCAGAGCCATTTTATTAATTCAATCATTTTTTATGCCGCGTTGGGTCATTGAATATTTTTGATATAATTATATAACTAGTTCTTTTCCTCAGATGGCTCCGCATTACGCAGGGCTTTAGCAGAAGGTGCTGAACTGGGAAGTCGTTGCATAGGTTCCACAAACGGATACTCGAATGGAAACACTCAGACTACGGAATGTTTTGCATATACTGCCCTTTTGGGTAGACTTGAAAACGCTTTGGCAACTTTACATAGAGCTCTAAGCTCCACCAATTTCTCGAGGGCTAGGAGTGCCCTTTGGGCTGAATTGAGCAAGGCGTTGTTTGAATTGGTGCAGACCAGCTTGGAGGTAAGGGATAATTGGATATATACATTATATATAAATATATATATATATATATATATATATATATATATATTATATATATTATCAGTGTGTTTAAGTCTTGTGTAGTCGTAACATCTACAAATATCCTCCAAAAAAATCGAGTGTTTTTAACGAAAAAATATTAGTGATATGGATATATAAATTATTACAGAATAAACCTGATGATGGAACGTACCTAGTTCCGAAACGTCGTTATTAAACATCTTCAAAAAACAAATTGTTTTTTATTATTGGATTTACTGTTCGGAAAAGAAACAATCAAATATATATATATATATATATGTATATATAGCTGACCCAGCAAACGTTGTTTTGCTAAGTAAGGTATATTCTAAACAATTTCTAGAGAATCAAAAATATTAATACTTTAAGTGTATAAGGATGTGTTGTTTAAATGCTATATACAATGAGGTATTATAAAAATAATAAAACCAATTAGTTTGTCTATATTTTTGTCAATACAATCAAACTGGAAGTTTTATACACTTTCTATAGAAAACATGGCATAATCCAATCCAGTCTTTTTGGTCTTTCGACTTATTATTACGTTTCAAGTTTTTCAGATTCTTTTTGAATTCGAGGAGAGATAGAAAATGAATTGAGTATTTCTTCTTTGACCTGCTTTTTGAAAAGTTTCAAGTAACATTCGATGAATTAAAGTAAATTTAATAAAAAGTATATATGTAGAGCAGGGCGAGGCACAAAGGTCCAATTTGACTTTGAGCAAATATAAACTATATTGTGAAAACCATAACAATTATATCACAACAAATAACACATTTCAAACGAACAATTATCTGACTACGTTTAGTAAAACTGCCAGCTACTTTATCATTGTAGAAATGTGCTTTTTTTGCTGTCTTTTAAAAATTTGTTATCTAGACCTTTTTTACCCCACAGACGGGAAAACTTGGAACGCCCAGGTTGGAAACAGGTTTAATGTCTTATTTTAATTTTAAAGGTATTTTACAAAATAATTACATTTTTAACTAATGCTAAAAAACTACCAACGGAAAAATTACTCTTATTATGTTTTCTAAGATTACCGTTTATCTCCCGATACCAAAGTCATGAGAATCAAGGTTATAGCTGTTTATACATCTTTTTCCCTCTACTTTCAAATATTGTTGTTAAACAATGCTTAACTTTACTGATTTTTGGCACATCGGTGGACCTTTTTAATCCCGGACCTTCATATATTACTATCTGTTCTTCGATAAATTCTGGGAAATTTAACTGGAAAAATGTTATTTGACAAAATGTCCCTTTGATCGATACCAAATTTAGGTTCTGAATTTAAAAAACATAAGTAAAAAATAATATAGCCTTGAAAATGTTTTTATAAATACCAATGAGTATATAATTATACAAATGAGATCCTTCAGAGCACCGTGTTAATAAAAAAAAGATTTGTAAAAAAGAGTGCTACAACGCCAAAAAGTGCATTTTCATATTACATTTTAAAAAAGTTGATATTCGAGTTTCTAGCAACACTTGCGATCCGTTTAACGTTTTTGTGTATAAATAAAACTACTTACTACATTTAATCATAATTAAATAATATTCACGTAAACATCCTATTAAACGTAATTGAACATCATCTGTCAAAACGTTGACATTTGACGTATGAGCCGCCGTCCATTGTTTTATTCAAATTACGCTTCTACAAAAATGTTCAAATTAAAAATGTAAAGATTTACGCAATTTTGAAACAATATCTCACCTTTCCGACAACCTACTGATTAGCACGTGTTTTTCAAGACCAAGACTGGCCAAATCGGTTTAGCCGTTTTCGAGTTTTAGCGGGATCATTTGATCGAGAGCTCCATTTTTATATATAAGAAGATATATATATATATATATATATATATACATATAACTATATAACAAATTTTATTTTATTGTTATCCAGAAACGGAGACCGCCGTCCCTCTACGCGAGCCTCTTGGAAACCCTCGACGTCCTCCACGAATCCTTCGGATCGGCGGAGGCTCTTCTTCCTGCACCTCAGAACCAAATTCCAGATGCGCCAGCCCTACACCAGTGCAAAGGGCTCGTCTGGACGAGTGCAGGGAACAGGAGCCCTCGACAGGGAGCAATTGGAACAAATGAGAGAGTTGCTGAGATTGCATGCTTTGGAAAACTGGAATCTTATACACAGGGTAAGAATAAAAGCAGGGAAATAAAAAAAAGATGAAGAGTTTTTTTTTTTTTTTTTTAGTTCCATTTAGACAGACTGAAGGCAGGAAAGTATGCAGGACACTCCTTATGGTATTTTGCAATCGGCAACGAACAGTCAAAATACCATAAGGAGTGTCCTGCATACTTTCCTGCTCCTTCAGTCTGTCTAAATGGAACTAAAAACAAAAAAAAAAACTCTTCATCTTTTTTTTATTTCCCTGCTTTTTATTCTTACCCTGTGTATAAGATCTCCAGTTTCCAAAGCATGCAATCTCAGCAACTCTCTCATTTGTTCCAATTGCTCCCTGTCGAGGGCCTCCTGTTCCCTGCACTCGTCCAGACGAGCCCTTTGCACTGGTGTAGGGCTGGCGCATCTGGAATTTGGTTCTGAGGTGCAGGAAGAAGAGCCTCCGCCGATTCCGAAGGATTCGTGGAGGACGTCGAGGGTTTCCAAGAGGCTCGCGTAGAGGGACGGCGGTCTCCGTTTCTGGATAACAATAAATAAAATTTGTTATATAGTTATATGTATATATATATATATATATATATATATCTTCTTATATATAAAAATGGAGCTCTCGATCAAATGATCCGCTAAAACTCGAAAACGGCTAAACCGATTTGGCCAGTCTTTGTCTTGAAAAACACGTGCTAATCAGTAGGTTGTCGGAAAGGTGAGATATTGTTTCAAAATTGCGTAAATCTTTACATTTTTAATTTGAACATTTTTGTAGAAGCGTAATTTGAATAAAACAATGGACGGCGGCTCATACGTCAAATGTCAAACGTTTTTGACAGATGATGTTCAATTACGTTTAATAGGATGTTTTACGTGAATATTATTTAATTATGATTAAATTGTAGTAAGTAGTTTTATTTATACACAAAAACGTTAAACGGATCGCAAGTGTTGCTAGAAACTCGAAATATCAACTTTTTTAAAATGTTAATATGAAAATGCACTTTTTGGCGTTGTAGCACTCTTTTTTTACAAATCTTTTTTTTTATTAACACGGTGCTCTGAAGGATCTCATTTGTATAATTATATACTCATTGGTATTTATAAAACATTTTCAAGGCTATATTATTTTTTACTTATGTTTTTTAAATTCAGAACCTAAATTTGGTATCGATCAAAGGGACATTTTGTCAAATAACATTTTTCCAGTTATAATTTCCCAGAATTTATCGAAGAACAGATAGTAATATATGAAGGTCCGGGATTAAAAAGGTCCACCGATGTGCCAAAAATCAGTAAAGTTAAGCATTGTTTAACAACAATATTTGAAAGTAGAGGGAAAAAGATGTATAACCAGCTATAACCTTGATTCTCATGACTTTGGTATCGGGAGATAAACGGTAATCTTAGAAAATACATAATAAGAGTAATTTTTTCCGTTGGTAGTTTTTTAGCATTAGTTAAAAATGTAATTATTTTGTAAAATACCTTTAAAATTAAAATAAGACATTAAACCTGTTTCCAACCTGGGCGTTCCAAGTTTTCCCGTCTGTGGGGTAAAAGGTCTAGATAACAAATTTTTAAAAGACAGCAAAAAAGCACATTTCTACAATGATAAAGTAGCTGGCAGTTTTACTAAACGTAGTCAGATAATTGTTCGTTTGAAACGTTTTATTTGTTGTGATATAATTGTTATGGTTTTCACAATATAGTTTATATTTGCTCAAAGTCAAATTGGACCTTTGTGCCTCGCCCTGCTCTACATATATACTTTTTATCAAATTTACTTTAATTCATCAAATGTTACTTGAAACTTTTCAAAAAGCAGGTCAAAGAAGAAATACTCAATTCATTTTCTATCTCTCCTCGAATTCAAAAAGAATCTGAAAAACTTGAAACGTAATCAATAAGTCGAAAGACCAAAAAAGACTTGGATTGGATTATGCCATGTTTTCTATAGAAAGTGTATAAAACTTCCAGTTTGATTGTATTGACAAAATATAGACAAACTAATTGGTTTTATTATTTTTATAATACCTCATTGTATATAGCATTTAAACAACACATCCTTATACACTTAAAGTATTAATATTTTTGATTCTCTAGAAATTGTTTAGAATATACCTTACTTAGCAAAACAACGTTTGCTGGGTCAGCTAGTATATATACATATATATATATATATATATTGATTGTTTCTTTTCCGAACAGTAAATCCAATAATAAAAAACAATTTGTTTTTTGAAGATGTTTAATAACGACGTTTCGGAACTAGGTACGTTCCATCATCAGGTTATTCTGTAATAATTTATATATCCATATCACTAATATTTTTTCGTTAAAAACACTCGATTTTTTTGGAGGATATTTGTAGATGTTACGACTACACAAGACTTAAACACACTGATATATATATATATATATATATATATATATATATATATATATATATATATATACATATATCCAATTATCCCTTACCTCCAGACTGGTCTGCACCAATTCAAACAACGCCTTGCTCAATTCAGCCCAAAGGGCACTCCTAGCCCTCGAGAAATTGGTGGAGCTTAGAGCTCTATGTAAAGTTGCCAAAGCGTTTTCAAGTCTACCCAAAAGGGCAGTATATGCAAAACATTCCGTAGTCTGAGTGTTTCCATTTGAGTATCCGTTTGTTGAACCTATGCAACGACTTCCCAGTTCAGCACCTTCTGCTAAAGCCCTGCGTAATGCCGGAGCCATCTGAGGAAAAGAACTAGTTATATAATTATATCAAAAATATTCAATGACCCAACGCGGCATAAAAAATGATTGAATTAATAAAATGGCTCTGAAAAAATAGGGGTTGGGGATGAAAAAAGTAACTAGTTGGTATGGTATTTAACCTTGAGGCAAGTTACATGAACTTCCCGATATGTGTAAATAATCGACTTAATAAAAAAAAAATGTGTAAATATTATGCTTCATGAATGCTACTTTAAAAAAAAAACGATAATAATTTTAGCAATGTTTGACGAATTTTTAAAATTAAACTATTTGTCGTAAGGCTGTAATATTACAGTAAGTTCTATAAGACCATGATGTATATCGCCAAAAAAAGTTCCATAAAAATCAGCTTAAATTTTTTTTCAACAGTTAATTAGAAGAAAACGGCTCGGTAGATTTTTACCTAAAACTAATCAGTATCTTTCCCAACTAATATCTTTCGAAAGGTTTTTGATTTTTTAAAATCGGTTCGGTAGGATGAGCTTAAATGTGGACGAAAAGTTTAACACTTTTTTGCAAATTACAAAAACACGGTTCAGCCGATCGCTGCACAAAACTGAGAATACATAATCTACATCGAAATACATCGGTTCAGCCGTTTTTAAGCAAACGTCGATGATAGGTCTAATTTTGACAAATCCCAAAAAACGATACTAATTTTTGCAAACTTTGACGAATTTTTAAAGCTGAACCAGTTGTCGTAGGGCCGTAATATTTTAGTATGATCTAGAAGACTATGGTATCAGCCGTCAAAAAAATAATCATAAAAATCGTCGAAATTTTTTTTTTAAAAACTTTATTACAAGAAAACGGCCCGGCCGATCTCTACCAAAAACTAATCAGCCTGATTCCCAACCAATATGTTTCGAACGGTTTTTGAATTTTCAAAATCGATTCAGAATTTGGGCTAAAACGTAGACGAAAAATTTTTCACTTTTCTGCGATTTATAAAGAAACGGGTTAGCCAATCGTCGCACAAAACTGACAAACAATAGTTCTCGTCGAGATACATCGAATGGCTTTTAAATTTTTGAAATCGGCCCAGCCGTTTTCGAGAAAACGTCGAGTTACGGCAAAAAATCTGCTCGCACACACACACACACATACTTTTTTCAAATGTTGCTCTCACTCGATTCAGAATGGCTTGAAACGTCGAGAAAATATAAAATTAGAGAATCGGATTTTTTGATGAAAACATAAACTTCTCCTTCGGGAAGTTTAAAATGCAGGGTTATGTGTATTTGTTAATGCCACATTATAAAAAATAAAAATAAAAAATTTCGTTCAAACATTGAAAAAAAAAACATTCTAAACTATAGATTATGAATATCTTGTACCTTTCTTGCTAAACTTTCGATGAGTTCCAATATTTTATTTCTGACAGTGTCAACATTGTTTTCGATGACTGCCAATAAGGTTGCTCTGCAACGTTCAGCTTCTTCAGGACTCCTAAAAACAATGTACATATACTTCAATATCATATAAATGTATCATAGACCTTATATTACATGAACTGCTAGTCGAACGCAAAATAAGTGCTCAAACATAGAAGGGACTGTGACGTCACACGTCTGAGCAAACGTTGCCGATGACAATCGCGGACTCTACCGTCATATGTTAAGGATTCTTTTGAATTATTTTATTATTATTAGTATTAAGAATTCATTTTTAAATATTTTTTGTTCATTGAACTTTAGTTTAAATGAGCACAGGATACAGGTGCAAATATCATAATTTTTCCATATATTTTCCATAGCTTAACTAGATGACCCGACAGACGTTGTCCTGTACCCATGACTACAATTTTTTAATATATTATACTAATATCTACCGTTTACCTGAAAATAATAATTATTGTTTTTTAAATTACTCTTCACGCCAAAGTGCATATATAAATATTTAGCTTGCATTAAAAACATTTCCAGCTCAGATGTATTTCTACTGGGGTACATTTATAATATGAGCGATGTTAAATGTAGAACTGCTAAGTCTCAATTCCCACACTTTTGTATTGGATATTGAAGTCTTTTAAAAGGTATAACATATAACCATAACCATAACATAACACTGGTATTTTATGTTGGATTAAATTAATTTAATTTTTTTATTATTTAAGATATCCAAAATTGCATTTTAAACTTCTCCTAATCGATATCGTGAAGGCCGAATTGTATGTATTCATCTTTACTTTCTCATTTGTTGGTATAAAGTGAAATTTTTATGAATTTTAAAAATATTGTGGAAAGATTAGTGAAAGATGTAAAGAAATTATATATTGTAAAAAAAAACTATATTGGAAATTTAATATCCGAATCTTGTGTTGGCGCCCCCTGAGGCGTGCGCTCGTATTTTTCGCATGCATCGCATTAAAAGTATTGTCAAAACGGCCCTGATTAATACTTAATTTTATATTTTAAGTGAATTAATTTGTCATATCCTGTTCATATGTGTATCGTTCAATATGCCATACATATACTATATTTTATATTATTTTAATTTCTGGCACATCTCTCTCAGCTGCTTTTTGGCAATAATAATGTACACATTTCATTTTTCTCATTCATAATCATAAATTTATTATACATATTCTAATATTATCTAGGTTCATAAATAAATTGAAATTTTTGGCAGATGATAGTTTTCATTTGTTTTCAATGCCAACAATGACATGCCGTTTTTTGCATTTTTTTCCATTTATTTCTACAATATTGCACATACATCTCAGTACTTATAATCACATACATCCTAAAATAATTTCCTTAACAAACTTCAGAAAGATTAATCAAAATCCGAATAATCGTTTAGAAGGAGTATATTATGAGTGCTTGTAATTTAATATGAACTTTATATAATAGCAATAAAGCTCAAATTGATTCTACGTTTTAGTTAGAAAACGTTTGTATGTGAAAAAAGGGCTGTTTTTAGGGTTTTCCCGGCAATCATTCGATTTTTTCTCGCGGTAAGAACCATCCTTGTACTTGAACGAAATTTTAAAAAAAAGAATTGGCCAAATTGGTCCAGGCGTTGTTGAGTTATGCGCTAACCAAAACATTTTGCGATTCATTTTTATATATAAGAAGATATAATGGCAATTGTGATGGCTGATAACTCAGTAAGAAATGATATCAATATTATTATTAATGTACATGATATCGAATGCATCTGTTAAAATTGGTTTATATATTATAAGGCCTATGTTAGGCACGTAACATATTACATATGACATTTAATCAATCGGGACACTCCGCGATTATCGTCGGCAACGTTCGCTCAGATATGTGACGTCGCCTTCTATGTTCGAGCACTATACCCAACGAAAAACATAAATAAGAACTAACAGTCCACGTAGTGTAATGTCTATGAAATGTATACACGTATCATGTATCTATTACAATTCTTACCTGTAATCCGCCAATCTATCCAAAACTCCATCTACGCCCAATTCCTTGACAAAAGGCTCCAAACTGCGTCGCACATAATCAATATTATTAATAGCAACACACCATTTTTCGGAGCAGGCGTCATTTCCGATAGTTGTGGATGTCGCAGGTTCGCCTGCAGGTGCACATTCTTGGGAATCGAGACGATCAGAGACACGATCGGCGTAGAAGACACAGCAACGACAAATGTCCTGGAAGAAATTGAATCATGTAAATCAGAATAGTTATTTTCATCCATGTTTGATGGTTGATGATTGCTTACATCGACAATTTTGGCGACAAACGTATAACTTCCTTCGACATCTGGCCACTCGAGTTGCTCCCAGAATATTTTGATTTGATAGAAGATTGCTAATGAGTCGACTGCTGATGAACTGTACTTCACGTCATCTAGAATAATAAATGAGATAATAATTAGCCACATAAATACCTCGAATTTTTATCTATATACTTTTATACGGATCTTTTATTTTTTCTGAGATATAATGCAAATTAGATGTTTTTTTTTTAAAAACGTAAAAAGTTTTTTCATGAAAACGTGAGGTTTTTGTAAACAGTTTGTACTAATGTTATGGTATATGCCAGAATCCATCAAAGTCTCTTGAACCAAGTTAATTTTAGATGAAATACGATTAATTTTAATTCCGGTGGAAATAACACTTGATTTAAATGAAAACTAGTGGTGTATGGCATCGTGCCTTAAGGCAAATTGCTTGAACTTCCTGTACTGTAATGAAATATTCGAGAAATTTGAAACGTTTTCAAATATATTATTACAAATACTGTTTGACTTTCATTATTTTTGCTATCTTGTTATATCTGAGCAAATCAAATGTAAATCATAAATCATAAATCAATTTATCTCTAGAACATTAACAATCGTCATTTCATTTCGAAGTCAATTTCAAAAAAATAGTTTCACAAAATTGAAAAATCGCTCCCGTATAGTCACAGTCTAAATTTGCAAATAATTCTGTGCGATATTTTTACTTATACTGGGCTTAGCTTGACGGCATTTTCACATTTTTCAATAGTTTTCTCACAAAATTGGAAAGCGCTCCAGTACAGTCACTGTCTGAACGCACTTGGATAAACATTTGTACCAGAGTGGCGCTTAGACTGTGCTAAGCCTGGGTGATTTTTTGAATTTTTAATCCAAAATTACAAAAATATTTTATGGAAAATAATAAAAAATTTAATAATATTTTATCCTCAAAAGAAATTGTTTTGTCAATACGAGCAGAAAGTTTTTTTGGATCATTCAAATCGGACGCTAAGTTCACTCAAAAACTGTCATTTTTTGCACATTTAGCTCTATCTCTTCGAAATGGCGGGACCTGTCTTTGCCAAAAACTAATAACCTATTCTCCCAATCATTACAAATTGAATGTTTTTAGATCATTCAAATCCGATACTCCGTTCTCACAAAAACTCGATTTGTGTTTTCCGCATTTTTTGCGACGTATCTCCGTAACGGCTGGACCTGCCTTTGCCAAAAACTAATCAGCACATCTCCCTATCAATAGGAATCGAATGTTTTTCAAACCATTCAAATCGGTTGATCCGTGCGCCCGAAAACGTGGACGAAAGAATGTGGACACAGAAAGCACACACACACACATCCGTTTTTTTTTGAGGTATGCCAAAATGTTCAGAAAACTTCAAAACGTAAGAAAATGAAAAAAAAAATCAATTTCGATTTTTGGACGATTACAATAACTTATCCTACGGGAAGTTAAAAAAGTTTCTGCTTATATTGACAAAACAATGGCTTTTGAGGATAAAAAATTATTACATCGTTTTTTATTTTCCATAAAATATTTTTGTAATTTTGAATTAAAAATTCAAAAAATTATCCAGGCTAAGCACAGTCTAAGCGCCACTCTGGTACAAATGTTTACCCAAGCTGAGCACAATATAAGTGAAAATGTCGCACAGAATTATTTGCAAATGCGTTTAGACTGTGACTAGCGAGAGCACTTTTTTAATTTTGTGTAAATTAGGCAACTATTTTTTTTTAAATTGAATTCGAAATGAAATGACGATTGTTAATGTTCTGGAGATAAATTGATTTATGATAGCAAAAATGATGAAAGTTACTGTATTTGTAATAATATATTTGAAAACGTATAAAATTTCTCGAAAATTTCATTACGGTACGGGAAGTTCCAGCAAGTTGCCTTAAGGCACGATGCCATACACCACTGGTTTATTCATTTAATTGACATAATTTTGTTCATCACACGATTTTCGTTAAAATGTGTATTTTTGGAGATATTTGCAAAAAACGATGAAAAAGACCAAAAAAAGCAAATTTTTAGTAGCGAGTAACTTGAAAAGTATTTGCTTTGATAAAACATTTTTTTATTATTATTATTAATTATATCGATATCCGACGACATTTTGAAAAAAATTAAATTACACCACTAAGAAGGGGGATGCCCGGAATTCCAAATTGATTTCACTTTTAAACTTGAGGGTAAGATGAACCTGATGGATTGTAAAAGTATTGTAAAGATTGAAATATTTATTAAATTGTTAAAAATACTTGCAACAAACAAATTAGTTATATTTAAAAATAATTAAAATTAACTAAATATAAATCAGTTTATAATAAATAAATTAAATAATAAATAAAAAAAATTAAATAAAACTAACTAAATATAAATAAGTTTATAGTAAATAAATTAAATATAAAATAAATAAGTAATAAAATAGCTAATAGTTAATTAAATTATATTAAATCTGCAAAATATTGACCTGAGCCTTATTATAATATTTATACCAACGGCTTGTAAAATAAATAAATAAATTAGGGGGCGTTAATCACGTGAGCGAGTTTTTAAGGATTTTTTGAATTTCACGCAAAACTTTAAATGCGTTATTTTCAGAACAGACTTTTTCAGTACTGTTGACACGATTTCTTGAGTTCTACTCGACCGATTCACTTGAAATGTTCAGAGAGTCTTGTTTATAGACCTATCCATAACAAGAACTAGGATTATCCCCAAATTCCAATTTTTACACTTTTTTTCAAACAGTCGCCAATTTGTAACAAAAAAAAAATTTTTTACTCATCGCTAGTTCGGGCGATTGCGACATCATTGTAGATTAATAATCTTTTTATTTCTTATATTTCGGGAGGCTAAACGGGCTGAAATCATGTCAAGACTGAGGTGCCAATTTTTTGAGACCCCCACTTCATCAGCTGACAGTTTCTTCAATTTTCAACATTTTCTTTTTTAATTTTTGTATTGTATTTTAATAATATTAATAAACAAGTGGTAAAAAATGGATAGTAAAACATTCATTGCTTTCTTTTACGACACTTTAAAAATGACCCAAAATTAATCGCTCTACACTAGAATACCCCCTTAATGGACGCCTGATCAGTTATATTTGTCTTCTATCCATTTACCTGTGACAGGTACAAACTTGTCCAACTCGACAGCCTTATCGATTCTTCCTGTGGCCTTATAGGCAGCAATATCCAGCCAGTGTGCAACTCCTGCAGTAAACCATTCGTGGTGACGAGACATGGTTGCTCCATCGTCTGTTGTATCGGTGTTGGGATCAATATCGCTTGGCTGAAGGGTGCAGAGACCTTGACCCAAACTAGAAAAAAATATTTGATATTAAAGAAGCAATTCTGACTCATAAAATAACGTTATCATGGCAACGCTATCTTACGCTTGTTGAAGTAAAACTTCTTTAGACGCGACTACGGAGTAAATCCGTACAAATGCAACGGCAATGCGTTAGGGATCGTTCAAGTATTACGTAAGCAGATTTATTACAATTATTTACCCCCTCCCTCCCCTTTGTCTTCAAAAGTAAGCAAAGTTCTTACCCAAAATAAGCAAAATAAGCAAATCAATAACCCCCCCGCCCCCCTATAGTGCTTACGTAATACTTGAACGGCGCCTTACGCAAGACTGTAAGTCATTCGCTTTCGATGATATCATTTCTATACGGGTCGATTGTAATTAGTCGTCGTGTATATATATAGAAATCTGTCGTTGTACGCGTAGCGGCATCAACGTTGTATGCGTACCGATATCAGCAAGGAAATCGGCATAGGTAAATAAACATTTTAAAGTTACATCGTAGTACAAATCTTGATTTAATGAAAAATGCCTGAATCAGACGAATATTTTACCCTCTTCCTTGAAATATTATTCTCAATTTTATTAAACAAATTAAACATTGGGGTCGTGTACTAAACGTAAGTTTATTGATTAGAAATTATTTCTATATTATTCGTAGTTTCTATAAATCTTTGAAGTTATTAAAACGGAAAATATTATTTAGACAACACAGATATTACAGCTTCTCAAAGAATGAGATCATATCGCCAGCGAAAAAGTAAAACAAATACAAGCAGCCAATGAATGTACGTTAATTTTAATTACATGAAGTTCTTCAAACACAGCAAATAGATAGACATTTGCACTACCAAGAAACAAGCATAAGATAGCGTTGCCATGACAATAAAATATAGTAAGTGTAAGCATATTTAAAAATAGTGTCCAATGAATATAAAAATATTTCATCATATAATAAGTATAAAAATATTTCTTTAGAAATTATATCTAGAATTTAGAAATATCGCCTGAGCTTTCAATAGATTACCTAAAATTTAAAAATAGTGCCTAAAATTCAGAAATACTGCATATATTATTTGGATAAATT